ACCTTCTGTCAGTGCTGTGGAAAGCTACAGGACTTCATGAGGGTGGCTATTGCTGTGGCCTCTGATGTGTCCAGGGGAGAGGCTTACCTTATTTCATGCTGTCTTTTCAAATCCCATCCTGGGGAAAGTATATTTATAGCTGGAACATCAGTTTATCGTAATCCAGATGTATTGGGCAAGTGTGTGAAGAATTTTAGGAGGACAAGACACTGAAACAAATTTACTGTGATTATCAATGGAAATATTTAACTCCAGTGGGCTGACAGGATTGTTTTATTCTGCTGTAACTTGAACCTGTTAACCCCTCCCCCCATCTTTTATAAAGAAGATGATTTAAAAAAAAAAAAAATGGGGAGTATATAAGGGACTAGGTAAAGGGAAGATTGTTCTCCTGAAATTAGCTGTTTATGTACCCTTGAAAAACAGTATATTTTTTATGATATTCAAAAGTGGATTGTTGGACTTTTCTCTGTAATTACAATAGAGAAGGCACAGTTTGGCACCCCAGCTCAGACACTGTGTACAGCACTCCTCAACCTCCTCAAAAAGACTTGGACAGAGATGGCACCTCTGCCCTTGTCACAGTGAGTGCAGGTGGCAGGTCAGGTGCGAGTTTGAGAGCTACCTCATGAGCAGTATGTCCTCCCTGAAGTGAACAGATATCCTTGCTGTTGGCCTTTGTGATATTCATACTCTCAAAATCCTCATCATGACTGTTTGCTCTTCTCCCATCTCTCTTGATGTAGGGAACAGTGGAGGGATGGGTGAGAGCAGTTTCTGGGTTGGAGGTGCAGTTTCAGGGATGTTGGGAAAGCTCTTAACAAGGTGAGCCTGTTCCTCCTCTGGCTGTTTGTGCCAATCTCTCCTTCAGTATTTACTCTAACGTTTGTAAAAGCAGATAAGTCTTCTGGAGAGCAGAGCCTGCTGGAGACAGGGAAAACCTGAATAAACAAACATGTGCCACAGATTAGTAAGAACATCTGTACGTTTTATATTGTTTTGAGAACACATACCACAGTTTTTCATTTCTTAGGCTTTTTTAGCTTCTCCCTTTGTTTCTGTCTCTTTCTTTTCTTCTTCTTTTTAAATATATTGCTAATAAAGGTTGGAGGTAGAAAGCACAGCTGGACTCTGCATGACATGCCACTGTTTAATTTCTAGCTTGGAGGATGAGAAGAAGAGTTGTTTTATTGTATCCTAGAAGAGAATAAAGCCACATGCAAATTCCAGCCATGGACATCTGTTTCCTCTTTGTGCGAAAGAATTCTCATATTTGGAAGGGAATCCCAGTTGTGAAGGGGCTGGTGAGGTTTTGGTTTTTTTTTTCTTTTGGTTCTTCCCCCTGCTTCTTTACCACTCCTTCAGCATTCTGCCCTTGCTCCCTGGCTCCTGTTTTCCTGGGTCAGTGTCAGCTTACAATTTAGCATCAGATATCAAATGGGTGAATTTTGATTTACTTTAAAATGTTGTGTTGTAGCTACAAAGAGTATTATTAAGTTCCCCCTTAAGTTTCTTTTATTTGATCAAACAGTATTTGGTAGGATGACTTTTGCTCTGTCATAAATCTTCAGTACTTGCAGGTTGGTATTTTTCTTTAGAAGTGAGATATGTGTGTCTGTTGCTTTGGCCATGAAATACAACTATTTCTAAAAGAAACTTATTAAAAATAATCTTTTGAAATCATCTTGTGTGAGGGGAATTAAGTAGATCTGTAGAAGTAAGAATCTGCAAAGTTCATTACCTTAAGTTAGGCATCAGGTGCTAAGGACTGCAGGAACCAGAGCAAATGATAATTTCACTAACCTATAAAACATTTTAGAATAATGATTTGCAGCTGTCTGGGGGCTTTAAACTTGTCCTTTTGTGTGTGTGTGTGTGTAAGGGTTTGAACAAACAGCACAGTTATATAACATTAGGCCAGACATGAGAACTGGTACTCTCTGTCTATTTTATATTAATGTCGAATGAGGGGTTGGTGGAGCTTGCCAGGGTTTCATATTTGCTGGCAGCAAGTTACCCACATGTGTGGACCACATTTTTATTGTTGCCTTAGCCTATTTCAGGCATAAATATTGCTGCCTAGCAGGGTGTGATCCTGTTCATTGCTGAAGAGCTTTTCTTTTAAGAAGCAGAATATGAAAGGGATTGAAATGCTCCGAGTGTTCTAATTAAGACTCTGAGATTTTGTCACGTCTGTCGTGGTGGAGGAAGAAAGGGCAATAAGCCATCTAAGGGCTACCCTTGCAGAGCTGTTTCTTTTTGCATATATTAATCCTACTTTTGGGTGTGGGCTGTTAGTCTGGTCTCTTAGGGAAACAAGGCTTATGCAAGCAGGGTGTATGCACACATGAACACACAGCAGCCCTTCCACGTCTTGACCACGGAAATGTGGCAGAAGGGCAGAGGCTGCAAAGATAAATAGAAGTTCCTATAAGTTTCTTGAAAATATGTCTGTGAGGGGAGAAGAAAGGTGGTTAAGAGGTTTGAGGGAAGGATTGTAATAGGAACTTTCAACAATGGCTGTGGAATAGATCTTGAGAAGAAATGTGATGGAAGTCCCTGCCATGGGAATATTGCTGAATGTGGCTTGGAAATGATTTGGCTTCAGAGAATCTGATGGCAAAAACAAAATCTGCAGGAAGCCAGACTGCATTTCATTCCAATACCCATTAAATTGCTTGTGAGGGTTTTGCTCTTAAGTCAGGTTGTTGTCAAACAGGCTCCAGTGGGCAATGGTAAGAAACGTAGGGCATCTCATTAGGACCATCTTAGTGCAGCAAAGGTGCTGCTGCTCTGCTTGTTGTTCATGGTGCTTGGGTTTTGCAAGTTTTCAAACTCTGTTAAAGTGTGACTTAAGAATGTTTAAGCCCTTATCCTGCAGCCATCCTGGAGAGGAGGGATCCCAGTGGCTGTGCACGTCCCAGTCTCACACATCCAAGATTGTCCTGGGTGTTTTGGATGCTGCACATCTCATGGGGCGTGTGGGGAAAAGTGAAACTGATAATCCCCATCCAGCTCTGACCCCGCTGAGCAGGACATGGAAAGCAAACACCACTAATGCCCAATATCAAACAGCAACCATGAACAAATTTCCTCTTTGATTGAAATGCTTCTAGCTAGGAGATAAAAGCAGGGTTATGTCAAAAGCTTCCCTTGTTGGCTTATTAACAGCTGCATAATTTTGCCACTCATTTACAGGCATTAAAAAGCAAAACTTGGGGACTGTATTTGAAAGCTTGTTTTGTTTGGTGTACAACTGGATACAGAGCATTTCCTTTTCTCTCTTTTAACAGATTTGAAGCAAATGTATTGGCTATTGTTTCTTTTTTCCCCTATTTTTTTGGCCTGGATAATATAAGATTATGTTGCTTTTCATTTTACACTGCAAAGAAACAATGCCATATAACTCTAGTTCAACAGTGATGCAGTAGCATGGTGTATATATATAATCTTCTCGTAAATATATTACCACACATTACTGTCAAATACCTGGACTTTTTCACCCAGTATTAAAAATGAAATTTAATTGCTACACTAGAGTTTCAAGACCCTGATGAATAAGAGCCATGCCTGACCTTTATTGTGGGGCTCTCAGATGCCACCAGGGGCATTGCTTATTGTCCAAGATGACAAACTTCCTCTGAGATTTCAGTTTGTCAGCTCAATGTACAGCAGTGACATTGATTTCTTCTCACTGCCATTTCCTGCCTGAATAGATAACAAATTTTCTGTGGCAGGTGTCTGTCAAGTTTAGTTTTGCCTGGCAGATTAACTTAATAGACTCATTTATTAATCATTAGTTGCAACACAGTGAGGCAGACAATACTCTTTTAACTCTTGGGATGTTGAATAGATGTACCATTTCAGATTCCTTTGTGTACCTTAAATTTGGGTTTAATAAGCCATTCATATCTTTACTGAATGTTTTTATCCTGACATTACTCAGAGCAAAGATATTGGCATTAGTTAAGTGTGTTCTATTTTGAGTATGTACTCCTTTTCATGGCAAAAGGTGAATTAGTACTTTCTGAGACTAATAATTTGATGCAGGAACTGGTGAAGGACAAGAAAGAATTTACTGGAGAATTTTGAGGGGGAAGGAACTGTAAGAGAAGGCATAACCTCGTAAAGTGATGTCTCCTGCTGCAAAGAATCACTGTGTTTGTGATGAAAACTGACTCAGATACACGTTAGCCCTGCACAGCCCCCCGAGCTGATGGAGACATACATTTGCTTCTTTTCCCCATGTGCTAAGAGGGTCGTGAAGTGTTTATCAGGGCAAAATCTGTAAGGGACCTGGAAGTGCACAGGCACTGCTGGGGACACATGACAGCAGGAATGAGCCTAGACAGAGATACAGGCTGTTGCTGTACAGAAGCACCTCGTGTTACAGGCCATGAGAAGAGAACCACCAAGTTCCTCCCTTGGGTTTTAGTTGGGTTGTGGTAGCTCTTCACAACCTGCTTTTAATTCTCAAGGGAGCTTGCTCATGGGAAATCACCAGGAGATATTCAAGGGAAGTTTCTGCAGCTGATGCCCAACTGCAAAACCCTCTGGTTGGAGCACAACTGCTTTCAGCTCAGCATCTGTGAGAGTGTGCATTGCTGACGATGTCTTTTTGCCAAGCTGTGCTCCTGGCCTTGGGAACGTGTTTCTTGAACCATCCTTATGGCTTTCTTGGCTGAGTGTCAAACCAAGAATGTCCCTGCATTAGATCACACTGCTTATTGCTCTTCTAGCCCACCCTGGTAACAATACATTAACCTCTCAGCAGGGAATGTGATAAACAAAGTAGAACTGCTTTAGTGAAACCAGTCATTTAATGGCAGCGTACATAAAGTGTCCGTAAAGATTTGTAAGTGTAATAAGCTGCAGTTCACTGGGGGAACAATAACTGTTCCTAATTTAGCCAGTTGAGGAACATGCCAACCCAATTTGCTTTTGTAACATTATGTTGTTGTTCTTTTTTTTTTTTTTTTCCCCTTTTCCCACCTCTCCAGATTCCTTTCTCTCTGGTACAGTTTCCCCTCTGGGAGTCCTTAAAGGTAAGTCCTCTTTAATGATGGAAATACAGAGTCACACATTTTGCAAAGGCTTTCCATGGTAACCTATCTAATTTGATTATTGCAATTAGGGGCATGTCCACGAATCAGTATGTGCCAACCTACCTGTGCATGTGAAAATCATTTGCCTGAATATCTGATAAATAGCAGGGAATATCTAACCACTGCTCTGTGGCCTGCAGGCTAAATTTTACTCCCAACATGCCAGAAATCTTGTCTTCAGCTCAACCTTTTTTTACTGCTTAAAAAGAGTGGTAAATGTCTTGTGTTGTGTGAATTTTTTTTTTTTTAAATTTTCATTTTTTTAGTGCTTCGCTCTTTAAAGTAAGAGGAAATTGTGAATGATACAGAGAAAGCTGTTTGAGAGGGGTTTTGTAGACATGGAGAGACTCTCAATGTGTTGCTTAAAAGCTGTTTTGATTGGCTGCCTATACTTTATTTAGAGGTCGTTTAAAGAAGGTGTCAATGGATGATGTTTTAATAGTGCAGTTGTTTGGAATGATGTGCTGTTCTCCCAACAGCTGGCTGCTTTGTTTATCATGGTCAGAGTCAGGGTCTAGATTTTTGAGCAGAGTTGGGATTTGAAGACGTGGAATTTCTCCTTCCCTCTTTGAACTCACCACAGAAGATGAATGGTTTTTTCGGGTGCTTTGAGATCCTGGGTTGGAAGCACAGAGAATTATTGCAGGTCATTAAAAGCATCGCAGCAAAATATAATATTATAAAAGAGGAGCTGGGGAGAGAAACTTTCTTCTTGTTAAGGGTGCTGGACTTCAGAGCAAGCTTGGCACTGAGACCCAAACTTGGTGCTGGTGTGTTGTGTTGGGACAATAGTTTTTCCTCCCCTTCTGTGTCTCTAGCTTGGGATGGGGGGAACAAGCCCACAGTGTGAATATTTGCATGTAGAGGCTTTGGGGAGTCCAGTATAAAGATGAGTGCACAGGTAGGAGGAGCATGAAATACATCAAGAGCCTTCACAGAACTGTGTTTCGCAGAGGATCCTGTAGGTATTCTGTGAACTCGGCTTGCTGTGGTGTCTGGGTATCATCCCATTGCACAAGGCAGCTTGAGCTGCCTTATTAGGAATCTGTTTCCCTGCCAGTGTCTAGGAATGGCTTTCTATAAACTCTTCAGCAGCTCCAGTGGCCTGACCTGCCCACAGTTAGTGCAGCAGCCGTGCTTGGGAGCAAGAGGTGGCAGAGCTTGAAGAGAAAAAGTGCAGTGTTCTTGCCAAAACCACATAAACCAGCACCATTGTGTAGCTGGTTTCAGAAAGTAAAGTTGTTTTAATTGATATCCACGTAGCTGTGACAATAAAATGTATCATTTACATTACAGGCTTTAAAGAAGACAGTTTGAATTTAGCCAGCTACAGGAGTGAGTCACTTAGGATGAGGCATCATGTTTAATCTAAAGAGGTCAGTGCAGATCTGAAGAGAAACAAAACCATGTCAGTTTGTTCCACAAACCTGTTGCAATGTATTCTTCTACTGGGGAACCAAGAGTGGGAAACTGCAAAAATCAGTCTGGCATGCACCAGACACTTTGGCTCAGCAGAGGGAGAGAGCTCAGGGTTTGTCATGGTCAAAGCCAGGCAGTGAAAGCAGAATACATTTTGTTTATCTGAATGAAGCTCTTAAAAAATTGTCAGTACAACAAATGACAAAAACCATTATGGTCCCATCAACAGGCTGGATGTGGCCAGTAGCATCAATGAGAGTGTGGCTCAGGGAAAGGCTTCTCACGGGTGCATGAAGGCAGCGTGAAGAGACAGTAATTATGAAGGACTAGGAATGCAAAGGATGAGAGAAAAATGGCATGAAGCCTGAACAGAAAAGAGTCATTGAGACGATGCCTGAGGGACCATTCTGCACTGTATTAATGGGATTACTTGAGAGAGTAACTGCAGGAGCAGTTGGGAGTGATGCGTGTGGGACGTCTCACAGATCAGAACAGAACAAGTGCCCTGGCTGTGTCATTTTTAAAACCACTAGTACTAAATTGCATAAGCTGATGGAACATAGATTCAGTCTCACGATTCCCTGAACAAGCTAATCACCGTAAAAATGAGGAAAAATATCTTTCCACTATGAAAGGACAGTTAGTGAGGCACTTGGAAGAGAACAGTTTCCTTTTCCTTCAGATATGTGCTGGTTGCAACCAGCAGCAGGGTGTTAAGCTTAAAGAAGCCTAATAAAGGCTTGTCATAGGTAGCAAATTGGGTGTTTCTATATCCCATTTTCTCTATCTACGTTGCTCCAAGCTGCTCTAGTTATTCCATATGCTTCCAGCATGCTTTAGCCACATAATTTACATGCACAGTTTTCTCCTGTCTGTGAATGTGGGCCAGCTGTCCTGTGTGAGAGTAAACTTGCATATCATGCACTAAACTAAGTTAGAAGAAGAGAGAGCATTGTGTAGATCCCTGAACTATAAGGTTACGTTTGCTGTGGGTGCTGGCAAAGGGGGTTTGCAGTGATTAGCAAGAAACAGATACTGCTTCAAATACAAGTCTTACTGCCAGTGACTCAGGTGAACATAGAAATTAGCAATAGTTAATAGACTCCTTCTTTAGTTCACAATGACTCAAGAAAAAAACAGTAAAGAAATTATGGTGCTTTTAATTAAAAAACAAACAAACAAACCCCCACAAAACCCAAACAAACAAAACAGCAACAAAAACAAACAAACAAAAAACCCCCACACCTCCTCTTTTATTTCTGGATGTAGGTAGATCCACTGCTATAATATGTGCTTAGTGTAATTTTTCTTCCCAGTTCTCTATTCTTCTATATTTTATTTGAAGTATAAATTATCTATTTATTTATACTTTAATTATCTATTTATTTATAATTTAACCAAACCAAAAGGGAGAAGGAAACTGCTACGGTGGATGAGATTTCAGGACAGACATTGTAATTCTCTGCTGAGCTAGTGTAGTGCTTCTCTGTCCTTTTAATCCAAGCCTTACAGCTAAAACAATTCTGAGTTTTTCTCAGAGTTCAGGGCAAGAAGGGGTGTTTGAAATCTCATTCACTTTCTGCTACAGCAGCCCTCAGAGGAGCACCATGGTTGAATACCACTGTGACAGTTTGATCAGGTTTAGGTTCTTTTATGTGGGGCTAATGCTTCTGATCCCATCTCAAAACCAGCTGGCCATGAAGAAAGGCAACAGAGCATAGATGTAGCGTGCTTCCCAAATGCCAGCCAAGCACAGTGCCTCCCATATTAGTTCAGGTTTTGGAATAATGTTTTAAGATACAGTCCCCTTGTATGCTGCCCTGGAATTTCCAGGGTGCCTCTGTAACTTGCTTTGGAAATACTATATGTGTGTTCTTCATTGTGGGAATTTCACATTGTGGGCTGCGCATTTGGCATGAAATTGTTGTGGGTTACACAGAGTCTGGTGCAGCTCTTGCTTTCACCCTCCTGCCAGGGCTGTGTAGTCTCTGCTCAGATGACTACAGTGATGTGGAGCCCATCCCTTCTTTCTGTTTTGTTCTGGTCAGACATTTTTATTCAGCACTTTTAATCATCATATCTGAGTTCCTACTAGCAGCATATAAGTGATTTGTCATTTACTTCATGTTTTAATCCATAATTCTTCTCCTTTAGACCTAACTGAGAAAAGATAAACTTTAATTTCTGCTGGGGCGGTATTACAGAAATACAAGTTTTGGGGTTTTTTTGAATAAAATAGAGTTTTTAAACCATACAGAAAATCTGGTAGGTTTTGAGTTCAGAAACATCTTGTCAAAAATGCCTCTTTCTTATGGCTCACTGGAAGCAGTCAGCTTCCTCAAAGAACAGTGCTGTAAGATAAACCCGTCTCAGGTGAAACAAGGCTCAGTCCTCTTGGGTTTTATATTTCTGCATGTTGGCTGCGCTTCAGAGCCAGCCTCTGAGAGTTACTCAAATGCAGCTGGACGTGTAGAATGGTCTCTTTTATAGACCCAATGTATTGTATGTCTGGAGAAAAGGCTTTGGTAGCCGGTGAGGAGGGAAGGAGCAGGCAGGACTGGAGGACATGGGTCTCAAATGAGTAGGCTTGAAAAACAAGGGGTTTTTTGTTTGTTTAGTTGGTGGGGGTTTTTTAAGGAAAACAAACCTACCGTCCTGGGAACCCTTTGTCTTTTTCACTAGACATGTCTGATTCTAAGACAAGACACTTGGATGTTCCTAAGACTGTGTAACATCAGGGTCAGCCAGTCCTGTCCCTGCACACCCATCCTCTCTGGGAGGGCTGGCTGTGCTGCTGCACTGGCCCAGGAGCTGCTAAGAAAGATAAAAATCTTGAACTGACCATGCTCAAGGTGAGGTCTGGCTCTTCTGGCACTCAGTGTGGCCAGGGTTTCCCTCTTTGTCTAGGTGCTGAGCAAAACTTAAAGCTCTTGGACTTTCTGCAGCTCTAGCGAGCCCACAAGTTTTTTGTCACTGGCTTTAGCAATAAGATAATTTTCTCAAATCTGTAGGTCTCACAAATTAACAGGTATTTTACAAAAAGAGGTATTTTGTTGGCCTTCAGAGGCAATAGCTGGAGACAGGGAGCTGAGATACGTGAGCAGGTCTCCCTCGTGGGTTGCTGTGCCGTAAGGCGCTGAACAAGCAGAGGAAGGAATGCTTTTGGTGGCTTCAGGAGAAGAGGGTGACTGCACATGGGCACATTTCCACCCTGTGAAATAAGTGGGCCATTGTAGTAGAGAGAATGGGGAGAGTCCAGCTGTTCCTCTGTGAGGCTGAGCAGGATCTGAAAATTGGTTGGGTCAGAACGGAAGTTCCTAGGGTTGGTTCTAAGCTAGTTTCTGCCCACACGATGGAGAGCAGGTTTGGGACTGGATTTAGGTCCTCTGTTATCTGTTCAGGTTCATTTGTCACCCCACACAAGGCATTTTTATTGAGGGGAAATCTTCTGGTGAACTGAACCATAGGTCTAACAAACGTGAGGGCGTTGATGTGTGTATTCATTTGCTTGGTTCTCTTGG